AAGCTAGCACTAAGTCCCTTCCCCGTCTACCTTTACTCTTTTTCTTTACAATAAGGCTTTCAAATAAGTCATAGTTGTACGGCAGTGAAGCATCGGTGTTGAACATTGATGTCATGCCGTCAATGATGATGATGATCATGCACTTCTACCTCAGGTTTATGGTGAATACGTTGCAACATATTATGTTGTTTTGAATATTGTTATATCGTACTACGTCTGATATGTTTCATGCTTCTCTCTGTGGATTGCCCGCATTAACACTGAAAGTCTTAGAGTGTTAAACGTGCAATCATGCTAGAGGTGATTGTGATCATCGTACCGGCCAAAATGAATAACGGTTAGCATTAGCCGCCCATCTATCTTTGGTGGTTTTTATGAGTAGTGCAATTTTTTTGCATACACCGCAGGTCTCAGCTGTGTAAGGGTCCCCACTTGAGTATTGTGAATCACCAGTTTGGTATGCGGGAGGGGAAGTGACTCAGTGGTAGAGCGCGAATTTACTGACCGGTAGGTCCGTGATTCGAACCCGACGTCTGGCTCTCCTGTCTAGGTTTGGGTAACCTGGCATTATCCCAGCCCTCGTGCTTCCTTCTGGTGGCATGGCAGTTAGGTACCAAAAGGGTGCTACAGCTGAACGAGTTTGGTATGCTGATGCCATTGTGATGTCTTCTTCATTTAGCCATCCAGGCCTACCGCCTCGGATTTTGACAGTTCTGTTGGTCACACGTGCAGTTAAGCGCAAACCGTATGCTACAGTAGCTTTTGTGCTCTTCGGTTTATTGACATGGTGCGATGCGACAGGTCAATTTGGAGACGAATGTCAGCGCACGCAACGCATGACTTTTGACTCAGGTAACTTTTGGCATGTGTCTGATAGCCGAGGGACGTCGTCACCGATGAGGAAGATTTACGGATCATACATGAGCCTTGCTGCCTCGGCAGCACTTGCATCAAGTGACCTTTTCCAGCTAAAATTTGAAAGTTAGGATAGGTTGCCATCGAAAACATTTTAGTTTCCGGTGTGTCAAGTTTTGTGACCGTTCCTTTCTCTAACGGAAGTTCACGGATCTTGGCTTCATCATCATCGCTCTCTTCGGAAGCGATGGTTCGGTATACGTAACCCATGTCCCAACCAACGCAGCTTCTGGTGCTGGACACATTCTTCAATGGAAGTACCCGGTAC